TTCTTTCAATGCTCTTGGCCATCGATTCGGTTCTGATAATGATTCAAATGTTGCTGAGTCATTGGCAAATATAAGAAGACAGCGCATATGACGAAAACGTGCAGGTATTGTTAAATCAATACCATGTTGATTTTTCCACTTCGATATTAGATCGCCGTTACTTCCTTGATCGAAGTTTGTTGTTCACCAACAAACTTAATAACGATAGGCGAAAATAATATTTTCGATGTTGATATTGGATGAGTCATCAGAGGGTGTGCTGAATCTTAGTTGACGAAAAATTTCTGTTCGTTGTTGACCTGGTGGGAAAATGATACTTCTCGGCCGTTTGTTTGTGGTCTCGTCATTGTTCAGCTTCTGATTTCGTGCCGGCATCTGCTGTTAAAATAGATTCAACATCTTTGGTGATTCATATCCACCGTTATGAATATGAATCATAACGTGGAATATATCAAAAGAAAAGAATATAGAACGTAAGAATCGATGTATACACGCGCAAACATTGTAAGCGAATGATTAAAATGTATCTGTCCATCTATTCATATACAAGTATTCCTGCCTATATATGTTATGTCAGTGGAGCCATCTCCTGACATAAGAAGGATATATCCAAGGGGGAAAAGGCGATACTCCATCTACTCCAAAAAAGAATTTGGAGTAGAGCGGAGTACGACTGGAGTAGAGTGGAGTATCACTGGAGTAGAGTGAAGTATCACTGGAGTACCACTGGAGTACGACTGGAGTAGAGTGGAGTATCACTGGAGTAGGGCGGAGTATCACTGGAGTACCACTGGAGTAGAGTGGAGTATCACTGGAGTAGGGTGGAGTATCACTGGAGTACGACCGGAGTAGAGTGGAGTATCACTGGAGTACAAGTGGAGTATGGGAATGCAACGGTGACGATCATTCACCGCTTAACCGTCACCGTTTCACCGGTCCAAACTGATAACCGAGGGTACGGTTCCCGGTCTAACTATAATAACCGTACGTACGGTTACCGGTTCAAACCCGTTGGCAAGAAAACACCATTTCATGAGAAAATGACGATATTTCATAAAGGTTGACGAAAGTAAATCGAGGTCGGAGAATCCGAATCTGAAGTCGGTTTTTGAAAATTTTGAATTCAATTTTTTTCACAAAGGCAAGGTTTTTTTAGAAAAATAATGATATTCTATAAAGGTTGACGAAAGTAAATCGAGTTCGGAGAATTCGAATCTGAAGTCAGTTTTTGAAAATTTTGAACTAATTTTTTTGGGTGAAACGAAGGGTTTTTTGAAAAAATAAAGATATTTCATAAAGGTTGATGGAAGTAAATCGAGGTCGGGGAATTTGAATCTGAAGTCAGCTTTTGAAAATTTTGAGTTTTAGTCTTCACATATAATCTTTTTCAGGAATAAATCTTTCTAGAAAAAAAGACGATTTTCAAGAAGCGGTTTAGTTTTGGGAAGAGAAAATTGAAAAGTTCAAGGATCTGATTTCAGATTTGGATTCTTCGATTTCGATTTCGATTTACTTTCTTGAGCCTTTATAATATATAATTACTTTTCTGAAAAACCTTTTCCTTTTGTGGAAAAAATTGAATTCAAAATTTTCAAAAACTGACTTCAGATTCGGATTCTCCGACCTCGATTTACTTTCGTCAACCTTTATGAAATATCGTTGTTTTCTTATAAAATGGTGTTTTTCTTGCGAATAGGTTTGACTTGGTAACCGCACCTACGGTTATCATCACCGTTGCATCCCTAGTGGAGTAAGGCTGGGGTACGACTGGAGTACAGTGGAGTATGACTGGAGTACGAATGGAGTATCGGTGGAGTATCAGTGGAGTAGAGTGGAGTACCGGTGTAGTATGAGTGGAGTACCGGTGGAGTAGTGTGGAGTATCGGTGGAGTATGCACTCCTGGAGTATCGCCTTTTCCCCCTTGTGTTATATACATGATTGTTTTCTTTTGATAATATATTAATCGATTCAACAGTCTACAATTATTTTATACTTTGTTTTTTTTTTCTATTTAGCAAATCAGGATATCCTCACTGGACCTGCATATGGGGGAGATGGAGGCGACTTATTCAACGATATGGACACTATTGGTGCAGCGGGTTTTACTGCTCCTAAATCAATCAATATTAAGAAAGCTGCGTGGGTGGACTCCATTCAAATTACTTATCAAACTTATGGGAAAAATATACGTGAAGCACCAATAAGAGGTGAACTTGGTGGAGAATATTGCAGATTCGACTTAGATCTTGACGAAAGAATCGTAAATGTTACAGGTGCTTCTGACAAATTTGTTGATGCTCTACAATTTATAACTAATAAGGGACGAATAAGCCCTTATTGCGGTGGTAATAGTGGTATACGATTTACCGAGAGCCATCCAGGTTATATTATGTCGTTTATAAGTGGTCGATCTTATCATTATCTAGATCAAATTCAATTTCATTGGATTCGTGAAGAGGTAAAATATATTATGACGTCATTAAACTATGATTTAAACCAAGTAAAACAAATACAGAAAGAAAAACCGACATTTGTCTTCTCAACTACACTTATTAATCGTTCGCCGATAGAACAGAAAATATCTTATACACATACAGTTACAACTGTCGAAAGTGAGACGTGGACTATGAAAAATGAATTAACGGTAAGAGAAGCCTTAGTGAAAGAGTATAGCATTCATCACCTAGTTCAGTTTATAACCATGTCTTAGAGAAACAAAAGTTCAACCATCATTGCATATTCATTTTCAGTCGGAATTAGGGATCAATCAGTGCCAGTTTGAGGTGGAAAGTTACTATTACCAGTTACCTGGTAACGGGAGAAGTTACCCGTTACTTTTCCGGATAACTTTTTAAAAAGATGAATTATGACTTCCTTTCGATCCAATATTGTCAATGCATCATTTAATAAAGTTAGAAGTTACTTGGTAACTCCCCAATTGAAAAAGTGATTTTGTTTATTAATCATATTCGGTCGAATGGAAGTCATAATTCATCTTTCTAAAAAGTTACCCGAAAAAAGTAACGGGTAACTTCTCCCGTTACCACTGACCCGGTAACATAACGGTAACTTTTCCTCCCTGGTGCCAGTCTACTCATCACTGAAACGAATCTTCAGTGCAGAACTTAGTGGTATTAGGTATGAATCGACACCAGCATACTGATTGTCGATGAAACTGGTACTACTCTTTATTCTTATTATACTGACTCATTGATATAGCGCTTCATTGAATACATTGACATATCAACAACGATGTTCAGTGATACACCGACACTCATCTATCCCTAATCCGAATTCTTCTGGTTTCGCTTAATTATAATCCAATCGTACAGTGAAACAAGTCGAGGAAAACTATATATCCACCGAGTGCTGTTGTCTCACTAAAATAATTAAGTACCATTCTGTAAAAAAGGGGTCTAGGTTTTTATTTATTGAGGTCATCTGAATAAAGGGTAAAAGTTGGTATTCTTTTAAAAATATTTTTTCTTTGTCTGATTATATGACTTTTGCAGAAGCATTGTATTCGACTAAATTCAATAGTGTTGCTGTTATGAGGTTTGGAGCTCATTGTTATCTTCCATATTTTTATTTCAGTATGGTGTGACTGTCTCTATAAGTTGTGATATTCCCAGGCTGGTTGACTGGTCAGTACAATTAAGTACAACTTATACACGTGGATTCGAATATGGCCAAACGAAGACTACAGAAACCACACGTGATCACACATTAGAAGCACGTGTACCGGCAAATTCACAATTAACAGCAACATTACTAGCCTTGGATGGAGAAATCGAGGTCCCCTACACAACTAACTTGGTCATTGTATATGCAGATGGCACAGAGATTTCAAAATCTGATCAGACAGGAACGTTCACAGGAGTTCAACTTGTTAAAATGACTGCAGAATACGGACCAGCAATACCTATTTAGGCGCCTGGAAACATTCGATGCAAATGATAACCACGTCAAACAGTTGATGAACATCTCAGAGAAGAACTCTAGTGCTGTTTTTGAGTGTCCCTCACATTAGTCCCACTTTAATTTTTTTTTTTGAACATATCCTATTCTGTAAAGGATTCTTATTAGTTTATCAATTAAGATATCTAAAGTGGATTCTATTTTAAATTTATTCTTTGTCAATTAGAACATACGTAGAGAAGGAGAGTGCCGGTGTGAGTGTGGGGTGTGAGATGGATGTGGACGTGTGGTATGGGTTTGGACGTGAATGTAAAGCGGACACGCGCGCAAATGCACACCTTCCATATCCACATTTACACCAGATTTGTTTTCAAATTAGGGTGGATGTGGGTGAGGGTGTAAGTATTGTTGGAGAGAAAACACCCACACCCTCTGAATTCATCTAGATTATGCATGACAGAACATTTCATCTGAAGATTCTCGTTGCTCAGATGAAATGCTGGCATAATGGTAGCTTATAGTCTTCCACTTTTGAAATTCTGTTATTGTGCATTTTTTCTGATTATAAAACGATAAAAGCAATTATCTTCAATAAGATAAAACTATGTAGCATCAATATTCCAAAAGAGAATTTTATTCATTTACAATTAGAAAGCTTTCACATATGTCATCGTTACCGTTCAAAATTTTCAGTGCTAGGGGTTCACTAATAAGTATAATATCGTCACATAGTCGATTTAAATAATTATACATTTGTTTGCCATTAGATACCGCTGACCAGGCACACATAGCCTCTGTAAGAGCTACGCCGACAACAATGAAAGAAATAGATAAACCACGAACAGCATTAATTACACCCACTCCACTGAGTCTAAGAACATCATCCGAAATGGCAACACCAGCAATGCCAACAGCTGCTGCAGATCTACTGACAATTGATGTTCCAGCGTTGATGTTAGTTTTAATTGCAGGACTTCGTAATTGAAATGTGTTTTTGAACGCTGATGTTGTCAAACGATCCTTACTAATTTCAATGTTAAAGTTCTCCAAATATTCTTTCAATTCATCTTTTTTTACCTGTCCACCAAACGATGAAACGTGAACGGCAGTTGACTCCAAAGGCCTGACGAATTGCTTCGCGTCCTAAATATCTTGGTATTAAATCAGCAAATGGTACGACAGCAGCTACTCCAGCATATATTTTATATTTCATAACACTGACAACATAACTACGACGAAAGCAGTTATTAATAATTTTAGCAGTTGCAGTCACACACATTTTTTGCAGACGGTTTGCATGAAAATTGTGAGGTAAATTTTTGATATCATCAATTAATTTTTCAAGATCAAATTTTCCATAAGGTTCTTTCGATAGATTTTCATTAAGGCCGTCTGTATCACAAGAACTAAATGTTAAATATAATTTTATTCCATTAGTGCCTGAGCTAACAGATTCTCGAATTCGTTTAATTATGCTTTCCGCATATCGATTTCGTTTTGCTTCACTAGATGAATTGAACTCTTGGCCAACATCTTCTTTAAATGTTTGAAGAAACAAATCATCAATTTTATTTCGTACTAACCAACATTCACGTTTTAATTCGTTTACAATATAATTATGCCAATTTTTATGCATATCCGCAAATCTGTTGTCAAATACCAATATATATAAATCACAATCTGCTTTTCGTATTTCATCGAAATAATTTCCTGATTCTAGATCAGTGTCATAATCAGTTGATCCTTCAATATCAACAAAGATAGCCTCTGTTCCATCAATATACTGATGGTCGAATTCGAGTTGGCATAATGTACTTTTACCAACACGAACGGGAGAAAGAATTCTCCTGTCTATAGTTATTTCTGTTTTTGAATTGTCTGTGTCATAATAATCAATGTTTCTTAGATGAATCAATAGTGAAGTTTTGCCTACACTTGTTTCGCCAATAAGGCCTATCCTGTATGGTATAGTTGAAAGAACAATACGTTTCAGATCGCTTTCAAACGATTTAAAAACTTGAATGATTTTCGGTTCAAATCCATTTTTTGTTACTAATGAACGTTCCCAAGTGTTCAAACTGGTTTAAGGATGGAAAATAATTTTCAAATTCAGTGCTTTCAATGTAATATAACAATGTTTCGCATATTTCAATAAAACCTTCACATTTTCTCTTGGCATCATCCTTTCCATTCAATAGACTTATATATTTCTCGCAACAAATTTTTAAATCATTATCGCTATCATCTTTTGCTTTTATCTCGTCGGATACATTTTTCACTTCTTTTAAACTGTTGATTAATTTAATGCCATGGTCGATTACGAACTGTATATCTCCAGGAATGGAAGACATATTTGGTTTTCTTTGTTTTAAAGTTTCTATTAAACATTGAATATGATCTATTCGACATGAAATATCATTTGACAATGTTCCTGGCATAATATCTATGGTAGATAATAAATCAACATCATATTTTTCATTAAAGTGTTCCCATAATAAATTTATTAAAAACTTATTTTGTTGTGGACCTTCTGTAGATGAATGATTACAATACATACAATAAAATTGTCTGTTTATATTGCTGTTACAATTTTTAATTGACTCAACACATTTATTGCAGTATTGATAACCACAATCTGTTTGTGGACATTCATGTAGTAATTGCTTTGATATGATACCAAATGAGCCTAGACATGCACAACATGAATCCCATACCTATCAAAGATAAGATGAAAATGATTGTCATAATTATATTACATAAAGCATAATATGCAATTAACAGTTTTCAAAAATTGAAATATATGTGATTTGTCACTTTTTCTGGAACGAGAGACCTGAAGTATGTACTTATTTTGCATAGGATGAAAAAGAAAATCACCTTGATCTAAGAGCTGCGCCACAGACGTTATTTCTTAGAAAGTGAAGTTAACGATGTAGGATCGTAAACAAGTTAGTTCGCTTTGGGTTTCATTAGTTACGCATGTATCTCCTCCTTTGTATACTATTCGACTAGTTTATACAATGACAAAAGAATGATTGGGTGTAGGTGTAGAAACGATCCGCATAATCTCATAGTTACACCCACAACCACTCACTGCGATGGTTATTTAGAAAAAAGCTGCCTCATCGCGACAGTAGCATCGCCGCCATCGATATCTCTGCTTTATACAATGACTATAGGATGGTTCCAATTATCATCATACATACCCCTTTAACCGACACCCGAAATAATTTCTCTCTTCTTTGCAATATTACACTCATGTCTTTTAATAATTTTTCTTCTCCAGTTGCATAATCTTTATATATCAAAATAAACTTCACCGGTGTTTTGTTCGACGTTTTTTAACTAAATAATCTTTAAATTTTGCGAAAACGAGTTTTTCCAAATCATCTATCGGTTGATAGCTGTCAGTTAATATTTTCTTGTTCCCCAAACAAACAAATTCAATTGTGGGCATTTTTTTTCTAAATAATCAAATAAAAATTGTTTGCCACTACACAGTCAATGACTATTATAGAAGTAAAACATACTCTTCTATCTCGTTTGATGATCCAAGTGAATTTCTGTGAACTTTTCTTTTGTATACGATATTCACCTTACTTGAGTACTTCTTTGTTATTTTATTTCTTGTATAGGACTTTATTTCTGTTAAAATTTCTTGGATTTTTCCTAATGCTCATTTACAATGACAAAAAAGTATCAAGAAATGCGTTAAAAGAATGAGTCAAGTGAAAAGTATCTCGAATTTGTGTGGATTCTAGATAAATTATTCGTTGAAAAAACGATTTATAATGACTACTCTGCTTATCTGTCATGTATCACTTTCTCGTTCCTTCTTCACTTTCTTATCATCTCTTTCTAAACTCTGTTTGCTTTTTCTGATGAGAGAGCCACTCTAATAGAAAGAGAGTGTACATCGGTAGGATTGTTAGAAAAGTAAAGAGAAAAAGAGACGACCTATGAATCAGCCATTGCTTGAAATTTAAGATGTGCTTCATAGATGGATATCGTTTGACAACAGTGTAAAGTTTTCAGCAAAAGCATTGCGATAGCAAAGCAGTTTTCTTTCGAATTGCGAAACGCTAAAGAATAAAAAATAAACGAGAAAGGGTGTGGACTAGTGAAAAAAAGGTTCACATCTACTTCCAACCGTAGCTACACCTTCATTTAAGCTAGCATTACAGAAAACTATAGTTTACAATAATGTTATGCTCAAATCTGAAAATGTAACGCTCATGCAAACATTGGCAAAGCTATAAGTGAGCCTATTAAGATGGAGTGTGGGTGTGGGTGTACATGTGGGTGTGGGTGTACATGTGGGTGTGGGTGTACATGTGGGTGTGGGTGTACATGTGGGTGTGGGTGTACATGTGGGTGTGGGTGTACATGTGGGTGTGGGTGTACATGTGGGTGGGTGTGCAGGATGTGAGTGTAGGTCCGGTGCCACTGGTGCATTCCTGATCAAATCAGCATATTTCAAGAAAGATATTGAAAACGGTCAGATGCTATCAAAGAACTGGTAGGACAGATGAGTTCATTCTCGAGATCTGTGTCAAGTGAACAGTTCTTTGTCAGAAACTGTATCAAAGTAATAGTGCTCATTTAAGAACTGGATCTATTATTTAGTTCGTTTTTTCGAGAACTGAGCACTTCTATTCTAGTATTAAGTTTTCGTTAGCTTGATTCCAGTACATTTGTGCAGTTCATAAGCTTGGCCCATCATGGGACGACTAAAAATCTAATGGAGAAATTAAAATGAGATTTCTGAGGGCACTGGTTCATTCAAAAAAGAATTGCTATCTAGATCAGTTCCAATCCAAAGAACTGTTGGGACAATTCTCAAGATCAGAACTCAAATGGAACTATCGTTGGCCTACTTGTAGATACATAGCTAAATGGTTCTGAGTGTTTGTCATGTTTGTTTTTTGTAGCGCAATGTTACACATAATGAAACAGGAATGATAAGTTTTAGTTATGACTCATTGATTCGATTATTGTATTAAGAAGTTAAAAATAGATCAAGGATGCATATGTGAGTGAAATGCTCGCCACATATTCGATGAAATAGTCCAAAGAGAAAATTGTTAATTCAATTGGTCCAACAATTCGCATGCTGATCTCTGATGTGTACCCAAAAGCGTACATCATTTCGAACACCATCATATGAATAATAGTGCCAACTGCCGGTTTGTATCGCATCAATATTTTGTGTCCAACTGTCTCCGGCATACGTGGCTCCATTCATGCCTAGAATGCACATCCCATCATGGAATGTAGCTACACACCAGCCGACACTGAATGAGCAAACACATATTGAGATTCATTATTTAGCTCGATGAAAAGTACTTACCCAAAAGAGTTAGCACAGAACATATCAATATCAGTTCGACGAGCAAATTTGGAACCTGTTACTGATAATGTGGTGGCGATATGTCCACGATTCCAACCAACGTAAAAATACACTGGCATTGCAGCACCGTTGCCCAATACAAGAAAAGATGACCGAGGTGAATTGTCTAGCTTGACGCAAAGCACAGGCAGTTCTGTACTACATAACGTGTCACCTGTGTAAGCATTACAATTTGTACCATTCGGATCGGCCCAATTTCGACAGTCCGCAAGATCAACGCCGAATGGAACTAAATCGTCTTCTTTCATAAATGTCAGGTCCGTTTTTGCTACTGCAAAATGTCATCATATGCGATTATTTCATAGATATAAAGCAGAAATCAAAACCTAACCGTTCGATCTCGCATCAAGAAGTCTAGTATTAGTTGGATCTTCAATAAGCATTCCTTCATTAATTTGAAGTAATTGTAGAACAAGTGCAGCAATAGTTATGTTACCAGCATGCATTTTGTTCTAAAACTAAAGAATATAAATAAACATACGATCTATATAGATTATTTTTATGTTTAAAATGTCACTTCGGTAAAAAGCACAAGTAACTACTTAGGGGTACCCAAAAGTAGTGGCGGAGATACCTTACTTTCGTATAGAAGGCTTGAGAAAATTTTCTTTTTTTATGAGCTGATAGAGAAAACGAAGCTCTATTTTTCTATGCTATTTCATCCCTATTCAACTGATACCATAATAATAAAACTTCGATAGGAACTATTTTTGTTGAAAACTTAACTAACGGATGAGGCAGATTAAATGGATACGTTTTACATTTCAATTTCCAATCACTTAATACATTGTATTGAAAACAAAATATATCACATGATGCAGCGTGAAAAGCTCTACACTTTATAAACAGTTTATTTTATATTATGTTGAACAGAAAGTTCACGGTCACTTGCAAAAAAGATCTAATCGGATAAGATGATCTATCCAGCATTGAGAAAGCAAATATACCAAATTGTAGAAAATTTCAAGGCGCATCGAATGGTATATAATAAGTCTATTCTCTAAAACGTTTAGGAAGAGTTATGATTAATTTACTGATGAAGGGAGAAGGCCCAAAATGGNCCAGCGTTTATGTTAGTTTCAATTGCAGGACTTCGTAATTGAAATGTGTTTTTAAACGCTGATGTTGTCAAACTATCCTGGTCAATTTCAATATTAAAGTTCTCCAAATATTCTTTCAATTCATCTTTTTGACCTGTCCACCAAACCATGAAACGTGAACGGCTGTTGACTCCAAAGGCCTGACGAATTGCTTCGCGTCCTAAATACCTTGGTATTAAATCAGCAAATGGTACCACAGCAGCTACTCCAGCAAATACTTTATATTTCATAACATTGACAACATAACCACGACGAAAGCAGTTATTAATAATTTTAGCAGTTGCAGTCACACACATTTTTTGCAGACGGTTTGCATGAAAATTGTGTGGCAAATTTTTGATATCATCAATTAATTTTTCCAGATCGAATTTTCCATAAGGTTCTTTCGATAGGTTTTCATTAAGCGCATCCGTATCACAAGAACTAAATGTTAAATATAATTTTATTCCATTAGTGCCTGAGCTAACAGATTCTCGAATTCGTTTAACTATTCTTTCCGCATATCGATTTCGTTTTGCTTCACTAGATGAATTGAACTCTTGGCCAACATCTTCTTTGAATGTTCGAAGAAATAAATCATCAATCTTATTTCGTACTAACCAACATTCACGGTTTAATTCCTTTACAATATAATTATGCCAATTTTTATGCATATCTGCAAATCTGTTGTCAAATACCAATATATATAAATCACAATCTGCTTTTCGTATTTCGTCAAAATAATTTCCTGATTCTAGATCAGTGTCATAATCAGTTGATCCTTCAATATCAACAAAGATAACCTCTGTTCCATCAGTGTACTGAGTGTCGAATTCGAGTTGACATAATGTACTTTTACCAACACGAATGGGAGAAAGAATTCTTCTGTCTGTAGCTATTTCTGTTTTTGAATTGTCTGTGTCATAACAATCAATGTTTCTTAGACACTTCAATAGTGAAGTTTTGCCTGCACTCATTTCGCCAATAAAACCTATCCTGCATGGCAAAGTTGGAAGAACAATACGTTTCAGATCGCTTTCAAACGATTTAAAAACTTGAATGACTTTCGGTTCAAATCCTTTTTTTTCCACTAATGAACGTTCCCAAGTGTTCATCAACTGATTTAAGGATGGAAAATAATTTTCAAATTCAGCATTTTCAATGTAATATAACAATGTTTCGCATATTTCAATAAAACTTTCACATTCTCTTTTGGCATCATCCTTTCCATTTAATAGACTTATATATTTCTCGCAACAAATTTTTAAATCATTGTCACTATCATCTTTTGCTTTTATTTCGTCGGATACATTTTTCACTTCTTTTAAACTGTTGATTAATTTAATACCACGGTCGATTACGAACTGTATATCTCCAGGAATGGAAGACACATTAGGTTTTCTTTGTTTTAAAGTTTCTACTAAACATTGAATATGAGCTATTCGACATGAAATATCATTTGACAATGTTCCTGGCATAATATCTATTGTAGATAATAAATCAACACCATATTTTTCATAAAAGTGTTCCCATAATAAATTTATTAAAAACTTATTTTGTTGTGGACCTTCTGTACATGAATGATTACAATACATACAATAAAATTGTCTGTTTATATTGCTGTTACAATTTTTAATTGACTCAACACATTTATTGCAGTATTGATAACCACAATCTATTCGTGGACATTCATGTAGTAATTGCTTTGATATGATACCAAATGAGCCTAGACATGCACAGCATGAATCCCATACCTATCAAAGATAAGATGAAAATGATTGTCATAATTATATTACATAAAGCATAATATGCAATTAACAGTTTTCAAAAATTGAAATATATGTGATTTGTCANCAAAAGATTATAAGAAAATAGAGAGAAATCATAAACATTCAATTATACTCATCAATGTATTAATTCACATTGAAATGAGTTAGATTTAGTATTGAACTATTTCAATTTATTATTCAACTAGACATACATTAAAAGCATAAATTGGTCGACTAATACGATGATTATAAAGCTGTACGTTTCAGTGAAATGTTTCTTTTTTGTTTTATTGAATTAATATTTTCAGATATTCGAATGAAATGAACTTCATTCGATTGACTAAACAATTCTTACATTATAAATTTTATTCATCAACAAATAGCATATGACTGGCGTCTTGATAATTGAACAAGATATTCTTGGTATTTTCTTCATTGGTCAAGTACATTCATAAAATCTTCTTTTTATTTGTATCGTAATTCACCTTCAATGCGTTTAAATCATTTGAAAAAAAGACTTTTTTATCGTGTAGTTTCATTGATTTTTCATTGACTGCCATCATGATAAGTAGAAAACAACCTCTAATCGGTATTACTTATGCTGGTAAAAATTAAATCACTTTTCGACTGTTTTTCAATAGGAAATGTCTTTTTATAATTATTTGCTTTTGGTTACGACGAAAAAGTTTTTTTCACACGTAGGAAAGAAAAACTTTTGTTTACGTCATAGATAGGAGAGTCGTGACAATCAATGTTAACCTCATTACAAACAAATAAGAAAATGTTTGAATGAAAGGGTTATAGTACAGCCAACGAAAATCCTTCTAATATTGACTTAATTCTTCTGGTTTAAGTAAATATGTAAAATAAACTTTTGAATGTGTGAGAAGAACAGACACCCACACCCCATATTATTGAAAAATAAAAATAAGAACATTGGTTTTCTATCACAGATTTACTTCTTTGCATGGAAAGCCATAACTAACCAATACAAACTGAATATTTCAGTCAGACAAAATTAAACTTACGTTCTTAAAAATTAACACTGAAAGTAATGTGAAGTTGATGTTATTAATGATTGAACCAAATGCAGTGGTATTTCAAACTTTATCAATTTAATTGCAAAACTACACAATAAATTTGAAATAGAAAATCCTTGAATTTTCTTTTCTATTGAAATTATTATTATGTTCAGAAAGATTTTTGAGTTCACTAGTGTTATTTATGGAAAATAGTATAGACTTTTGGAAGATGTCAAGGGTGTAGTTGTGGTTGTTCTGTTTCTTTTTATCTATGCACCCACATTCACACCCGTGCGTTTTATGCATGACGATTACGAATCAAATATTAAAACCAGTAGTAATCTATTTAGAAGAAAATAATATGAGTTTGAAATTTAGAAATGTAGCACATAGAATTAAAATGAAAATAGAGCGTATCATGAAAACTTGGAAAGTTCAATTGTAAGTGTGTGGTTTAGAGTGGAGGAGCCATTTGTTTATGTATAATTATAATTATAGATTGATTGAGAAAGTCTCAGATACAGATTATTTTAACATTTATCGTGTAGCAAAAATAAATATGAACTGTATATACTCGATTTGTCAATGATAATAGAAAGATTTTGTTACATAGAAACAAAAAAAATCATGAAACTACTGTCGATTCAAATCAGCATTAGAAGTAATAAAATCATATCATTAAAATTACTTATCGGCACATTAGTATAATTAATTGTCTTCTATATGTATAAAAACTTTCGCCTAAAATAAATAGGTGACTTTAACAACATTCGAAAACCTTCTACAATGTAAGATTCCAATGAAGGAATCGGTGGCTGATAAGCATAATCTTTAGCTTTAGCATTCCAATAGACAGCATTGCTCTTCAATTCATTGGTATTGTTAAGTACCAATTCATCAGGTAATCCATACCATGGAATGTCAGATTCAGTATCGTAACCGAGTTTTTTCAACATTGGTGCAAGACTATTAATTTCTTGTTTGATATAACTTGGTAGATTTCCAACCCATTTGGTCAATCCTTCGACATTAATTGGTTTAATCACTTGATCCGATGAGAATTCTGTTCTGTTAAATAAATATTAACGTAAAAAATAGCGAATAGTTCGTTACTGATTAGTCTTACCTGGAAACAGAGATTTTCTTACCGACTAATTTTTCATGATGTAGCACATCATCAACCCAAGGCAAACCGAGAAATTTCAATATACTTTCAATAGTTTTTTTCGATTGAAGTACTAATTGTTCATATCTAACAATCAGACATTTCTTTTTACCGACTTCAATGCATTGATCAATCAGAATCTCCATTTGTGTATTCCAGGATTTGAAATTTTGCCGATAATCCGTTAAATTAAAACCGTCAACAGGTACTTCACGGGTCATTACTGAATAGACTACAGCACGAGCATCACGAACAAGTAACAAGAATTTCGAAGTTGGAAAAATGGATGATATATATGCAGCATACATCAGCACAAATGGATCTTTGTCACAGATTACATCAGCATTGTGACTATGATGAATAAGTATTTCGTAGATAAACAAGCGAATAGCTGAATCAAGTAGCGATGCATTGACACCACTAGCCATTAGTCTAATAGATAAATAAAATATTCGCTTTCATCTAAGAAGTATCAGAGGGACAATCACATGTTCAGTTTTTCTCTTCTTTTATGTACTTAGTCGATGGAATCTTGAGACTTTCAGATCATCAAAACTAAAAGTGGCCTAAGCATTTTTTCCATTGCTCTGTACTATAGCGTCCTATCTAACTGAAGCTTTTCTCACAACTAGTGAATACCATTCGAGGATTTGTCATCGTTTTATCTTTTTTGTTCGAATAAAAAAGAAAGTATCCTTCAAAATCTTTTTCTCGATTATGATAAATTTTATAGCACATGTCGTCAATGAGAAAAACAAAGTGCTTCAAGCAGAATCACTACAGACTTCAAATTATGTTAAATATTCGTGAAGATGGTTCAGTTCAATAAGGCATAGTTCGTCTGAGAAACAGGTACAATTCTGTATTACAAAAACTGATCCTGAGAAAAACACAAAACGAGACAAAGTTCTGTTGTCTCGATATCTAAGAGTTATTGCTCATACATGATGAAGCAATCGTTTTTTTTTTGAACTGACGATTCTTTAAAATACAATTCTTTGATGGGTCTAAACAACAATGAAAATTTTTGATTTACATATCACTGGATATAGGAAATTTAAATGTCTTTTCAAAGCTAAATGAAAACTTGAAATTGAGAAAAATGTGTTCTCGGTATGGGTAAAGTAGAGCCAAACTTTTAAGACCTTCTTTCAAAAGTTGATTTTGGTCCAGGAACGTTCGAATGACCTGAAATTTATAGAATATGTTAGATCTTTTACGAGAAAACCATGATAAAAATTTCAGCCTAAAATCTTGATGTCTTCGGGAGATACTGGCCATATGACGTTCAAAAATAGTTGATTTAGCATCTCAAATTGCTTCTTCCTTTTTTTTGTTTGGAAGAATGTATCAAGACCCAGAGCATGATTAGGTCCAATTTTTGAATTAAGGCCCTTTTTAGCACAAAGGAGAGTTCATAAATTGAGCCGTTGAAAAAAAATCCTCTAAAAATGGTAGCAAAATCATATAAATGTCTCTGAACTGGACTAAAAAGAGACTTAATTTGAAAATCGAGCCTGGTCATGCCGTGCGCCTTGACATGCTCTTTCAAGCAAAAAAAAAATATTAATTCATTAGATGATGAGCCATTACTGAGAAATTCGGGAGAATAGAAGTTTCCAGAAATCTTGATTTTTTTGTTTTTCGGAAAAAAAGAAGTACCAAGGAAGAAGTTGTATCATTTTTAACAAAGCAGGCTGTGGATTATCTCTCCATGCCTTTATCTCAATTATGCTCATTCTGATGAAAATTGACTTTTTTGAGAGGGGAGGGAGGCCTTAAAAACCTCTCAATTAAACACACGGAACATTAAACAAGGTCAACACTCTAGCAGTATATAAACGGCATTTTACAAAAGATAACCTGTTCCATTCAGTTTTTGACTCTTTCCATATCTTTCTCATTTGCAATATGATTGGTATAACGTGTGTCTCTTGACCACACTGAATATGTGGATGACTATCGAGAATAACTCGCATAAGTGTTGTACCGCTTCGTGGCATACCACCAATAAAAATCATCGGGTGTGTTTGTGATGAGCGATTGATTTTGATGATTTGTTCATTGATTTGACTATCTGATGAGTATGATTCATTTCGGACTACTACATTATCGAATGTTGAACGACTTGTACCGAGACGAAAACCAACACAAAACATGATAAAAGTTGATGAAAATATGCTGAGAAAACATAGAAAAGGATTGCGAATGATACGTAGAAGTATATTGCGTCTCATGCGTCGACCAATAGCTGACCCGAATATTTTCATCTGTAAATATTATTTTTCAAAACCACCTCTACGAGAAATAATAGTAAGCTATGCTGTCATAAAAACATGAATTTTTCTATATTACCCCTAGTACGACCAAGCTGGGTCATTTTTGACCCATTCTTTAGAACTCCTCCTCGAAAAACGAATTTCGCACCAAGTTAAATGAAACCAGCTGATATTTTCAGGATATGTTGGAGCTGTAATGGAGAGGCTATGGTAAAATTTTCAGTTCTATATTATGACATTTAAAGGAGATACTACCTAAACAACGGTCAAATATAGCTCATTTGGCAATCTAAATCTCTCTTCTGTTGCTTATACAATATATTCAATTTTTTTTCTTCGACAGAGCATATCAGAATGCAGAACATGCCTGAGCTCGTTCTGATTTAAAACAAGGACTCCGTCATGCCTTGCATCTCGACATATTCTTTCGAACAAAAAGAGATTCAATATATTGTATACGCAACAAAAGAGAGATTTAGATTGCCAAATGAGCTATATTTGACCGTTGTTTAGGTAGTATCTCCTTTAAATGTCATAATATAGAGCTGAAAATTCTACCATAGCTTCTCCATTACAGCTCCAACATATCCTGAAAATATCAGCTGGTTTCATTTAACTTGGTGCGAAATTCGTTTTTCGAGGAGGAGTTCTAAAGAATGGGTCACAAATGATCCAGCTTGGTCGTACTTGGGTTAAACATCATCCGAACATATGGATGAACTCTACATGTGTAAATATCTTACGAGAGAGGGCCGCTAAATGATAAATTGCTTTTAAGTCCGAACTATGCGCATAATGTGTGCCATAATGACCTATGAATATTATGAAGTGTTCGGGCTGCTAGCTTTTTGTGGTCAAGGTATTGGGTTTTTAAGGTATTTTTTTTGCCCGACGCTGTGATCTCCCTCAGGGAAACCATAACATTGAATCTCAAAATTCGACTTGAAACTTTGTCCAGATACAATTCTCAATTAGAATAGTTTATGATGAAACTTTTATATTTCTTTCTTGTCTCTGTTCCAAGATACAGCTATGAGAAGAGCACGTTTGTCAGATCGCTCAATTTCAATGTTTCTGAAGGGAACGACCACGACCTTGGGCTAAAGCAATACTATTTAGTAAAAATGCGGTATCTCGACAGCAACAAGCTATCAACTGGAATCCTTTTTATAGTATTCATAACTCGTTATGGTGTACCTGATGCACATAGTTCCGACTTCAAAGCGATTTATCAGTTGGGAACCTATCCTCGTTAGTTTCAAGAGTTGTCTTATTGGAAACACTATGCATACAAAGATGTATGCTTCGTTCATATATTGTTTTCATAGTAAAAAAGATTGTGTGATTTAACTATCATATATAGAAACAATATTTTCTAGCTCTTGTCATTCCGCTTCTTGAACAGGAATCAGAAAGAAACTAAGTAATATCAGAAATGGGACTTCTTCAAAGAATCATTTTCTTTTTGCTCTTGTAAGCATCAGTATTTATTTTTATTCAGCATGTTTTTTTTTACCGTTAATAACTTTTTTTATCATGCAAAAGTTTTCCAAAAAAATGTCGAAACTCATTTCTTAACAGTTGAATATTAAATTAGTCCGAACTTTTTTTCATTTCTCAAAGAATGAAATCAGAAGAATCAAACGAAACAGTACAGATAACACTTTAATTTTTGCCTTTTTATTATTATGAAAGTCGAATGAGAAACAATGCTGAGCATATTTTTGTGATTCCGTAAGAGAGTAGTCAAGGTTTTTTAAGAGACGTTTTTCAAAATTTGTACTTTAAATGCGATACTTATAGTTCTATCTAACGGTAAATTTTGCTCATGCTACAAATATCTTGAATCATAAGAGTTAACAAATAAATTCTTAAAATCATTGTAACAAATCACTTAGTTGAAGAATAAATTTCAGCATTCTTCCAAAGTTTTATATGGTTTATGCTTTAAGCAAAAAAGAAAGTAAGTAAATGTGTGTATATAATTCCACTAGTCGATACGCGTATCATATTCAGCGAAATTTGAAATTTCTAGAGATTATGACATTGATTACTTTCGGTATAAAATTTTTATATTTGGCTGCTGCTATTAGACAGATATTGATCAAATGATATGAATTCGTTTTATGTATTTTTCAAGAAATTCGAGTCGAATGTTATCAAAATAATAAATCATAGTCTATAGTTATTTCTTACAATTCTAAAACAAATTATATATGTATATTCTTCTTGAAAACTTGCAGCAGGTGTCGGAAAGAATTAGAACTAGAGTTTCAATGGCAAGGAATGGTATATGACAAAGTCGATCAGAAATTTAGAATGAAACACTATTACATTTATTTTGACTGATAATTTTACATGAAATATGTTGATCTATCCATATCGTAAATACCGGATCATTTTTAGCGGTAAACCGCGGTATACCATGTAAATTGCGGTAATGGGAGCCGGTAACCGAACCGGTAAAACCGCGGTAAACCGCCGATTTTCTTCCGGTTTTCATCACATGGGTAATCATTTTGATACTAAATTATCCAATATTCAATTTTACTTTAGAAAAAACAAACATTCGTATATATTATGCCTCTATTTATTTCGCTTAAAAAAAAACACAATTTATTCTTCTTGCAAAGAAGGCAATAGAACCATGTTAGTGTCGAATATTGAATGATTCAATAGAATAATAATAGGGTCAACAATTTCTTGCAATTATCAGTGAATTTTGAAATGTTCAACAAACTATCTAATTAGGTATCGCTGAAGGTGTGGGTATGGATGCGGATAAAAATAAAATTCACAATCCACACCCACACTCACACCCTCAAGATAGTTGAGTTCAAAATTCGAATGGATAATTATAAGATGTGATTGATTATTACAATAAAGATTTGGCTTGAATCTCTTATAAAACACATAAATAGTGTTTGATCCATATTTCTTTAAAAGCAGTATTCACATATAAAAGTTTTACACGAGAAATGTTCAGTGTTACTTCACTTCAAACTTCAAAAATTTCAGTGAATTTGTACGAGATGACTGGATTAACTGGCAAAATTTCTATGAATACATTTTAAAATATCTATGCAAAAACTAAGACAAGATAATTCGTTTTTTGTTAAATTGTAATTCATTTAATGTAAACATTATTTTCTTTGTCATTATCAACTATGAAAGAACTGCTGTTCGAAACATGACGTACTTAAACTATATTATTAGTTTGTCATCTTATATATTTTCGTCTCTTTATTCATGTCGTTGATCTGCTAGTAGTTTTATTACTTTTTTAATGTTCACTTGATAAAGAAAAGAAATTTTCGAAACTTATTACTGATAAATTTTGATCTATAAAGAAGAATTAATTGTTTTTTCTGAAATCTACTTCACACTAGTATTTCATTAAAATTGAGATGATGTTTCGTTGTTATGAATCGTTGAATATCGTTTTCGCAGAACGCTAAACTCCACGCAATTCTAAAGATAGATAATTTAACTATCTATATATATACCTGCCATAATAAAATAAATTTACAAGCCCCAAATAGAGCAAAACTAAGAGTTGTACTTTTAAAATTGTATGCTTAGAAGCGAAGTCTCTCTATAGAAATGAAAGAAACTCTTCTTACCTGTTTATTCACTTGTGTGCTTGTAAAGAAAGTATGAATGAAAATTTTTTCTCGAAATAAGTCGTTATTGAATCTATTTTTTTCTTTTTCTTCTAAGAACGAAAAACAAAAAGTCAAATTTCTTTTCTGTGCATTGAGTTGTTTTGAAAATTTATATATGAATACAATAATAAGGCTCGTCAGTCATTCAACGGTAGATCGAGAAATTTCTTTTCATACCAGCATAGTTTTCATGTCATTTTGGATAATATGTTCCCGATGAAAAATGCATAAACATGTCAAATCTGACTGTCACCGTGAGAATTGTAGCATCGGGCGTCTTTTAGCTTCCATTAGATGCGTCAGATTTCAGCTCGTAATATTTTCGTTAATATGCTTTCATAAACGAAGATATTGTGTGCGATGTGCCTATGACGTCAAAAAATCGATTTTAGGAACTTTTCTCGTCACTCACATTACAGTGCTAATGAAGTATAAAAAAAATCGACTTATTAAAACTGAAGTTTGAAAGATTTTCGTTCTCTATCAATAATTTTTTATTGTTGAAAGCAATGACTTTAATAAAAGAAAAGTGCAAATGACTCGTAAGACTGTAGTGGACAGTATTCTCTTGTCTTTTTCTGATTAGATGAGGCATTCTTACATTTCTCTATATTCATGTGAGCATATGAAAAAAGAAAATAAAAAGATTACAAAGAAAACAAAAATAGTAGTAAGCAATCGATAAGCATTCAGTTAAAATAAAAACAATAATAAACGATAAACATAGAATAAGAGTGTGGAAGAAGTTAACTTAGAATAAACAACATGAATATGATACGTTGTGCAAAATAAATCATAAATTAAAAAGATATGTTATTGAACTTGATAAATAAGGAATAAAAATATTTAAACAATCTATTGCATTATTTTCTCTTCCATCAACAATAGTTGAATGCATAGTTTTATTTTGAATAAGTTTCTTAGTTTGTTTTTTTATTTTTCTTTCAATCTTTCAATCTTTTGATCGTGTTCTGTTTTTAAAAAGTACGAAATAAAAGCAAATAGTTTTACTTCTATGTTGCCGATCAATGTTTACAGAAGAGTCAATCAATAAAACGGGTCAATTCTAGGCAAAAAATAACAACTGTGTAGATAATATAAACATTGATACAAATTAATCCAACAGTTTTTGTTGCATACCTCAATATTTGATAGGAAAAAAAAAGTGATCATTGTCGACTATTTGATGTTGGGCTCCTTGGCAGAAAGTAAGGATGTGGGTTTATAGGGGATGTGAAGGTGGTGTGGTTATCGCTACGGATGTATGTGTGTATGATGTGTGTGGTTGTGAAGGTGACCAATGGTGAGTATGGTTATGGGTGTGGGTGTTGGCATCAATGTCATTTTCTGTTTTAGATTCAATAGCTGCCACCGTCAGCCCACACTCGTGAAAGAACCTATGGTGAATATCCTGGTTGCGATTTCATATCAGATGAAAATATTATATGTATCTATTTTTTACATGCGATGAATTGAAAGATTCATGTTCGAAGTACAAAACACTTTTCCATCCTGCAACGATTAATCTTTTAGAAAGCTGTGAATAGGGTGTGGGTGTTTGCTTCACTAATCCACACCCACACCCACACCCACACCCACACCCTAATCTCATACGACTTTATTATGTTGAGTACGATGTACGAGAAATTGTGACCAATGTCACTGTAATGCTAGCTTGTTTACTCCATTCTAATTATTGCATCTGAATAAAAACGAAATATGTAAGGTTTTAATAATGTTTCGAAGTTAAAAAACGTGTTTCAAACGATATACATATTTATTTATTTATTTTTCTGATTAGACTGAAAGAATCTGGCAAGAAATATTTCCTGATCAACTTTCTAGTATTTTTTCATATTATCTATGTTCTATGCTTATTGGTATCATGCGAAGATCACTAGAAAAAGAAGTTTGAATAATATCATCAGAATATAAATTCGAATCATTAGTAGAATGGAATTATGTTAACACGTCCTCAAAAAGAATAAAATTGTGAAGCGTTAAAAAACGAATTGATTAGTTTCAAGAAAGAATTTGATGATACTGAACTAATTCTGATATATTTAAAATTTAAGAAAATTAAAAGAATTTCGATAAACATTGAAATTATTTTAGTCATTTAATTTCGTCAAAAAACTTGTCTCTGTTAGGATATTATTCTTGAAATAGCTCAATATTTATATGTTAATAACGTAATTAAAATATTCTCTTCGAATATTCTTTTTCTTCTACATAAATATAAAGCGAAACTATATATATCTTAATCTTCGAATAAATTGAACAAAATAATTCTTCAAATAATTAATCCTGAACAAATTGTTTCCTTACAATTGAAATTGAAATTGACTCAATTTCGATAAACGATTAATTTTCGCTTTCTAACAATTTTTACTGGAGTTATATCTTTGACTCTTATCAATCCTCTACATACCGAACTGAATATACAGTATGAAGAATATTTCCAAAACTGAACCATCGTACTTTGTACTATGATGATGATGCTGAAGTCAATTTTGATTTATTAAGTACGAAAATGCGAGAACTTTCAAAACAAATTAAACGAGTAAAAACTCAATTTGCAAGAATATCTTGTAATCATTATAATAAAAATAAATTAAAAATGAGAAAAATGAATACTTCGATTGAATATTTTGATCTTGATATCGTCCAATTTGTGTCTACTTCTGCGAGTAACTGTTCTCATTCCACAACATCAAGCTCTTCCACCATATTAATTGAACTTATTAGAAGTATGAAAAATATTCAACATATTCGTGTAATCACCACTAGCCGTTATCTCGATCGACTTTTTAATGAATATGAATGGAAATCTATAGTAAAAAATTGTAATAAATTGAAGACATTAACAGTTAAGGTTGTTAGAAACATGTTAGAAGATCAACAATTAGCACCAGAATTATTGAAGATTCAAAATAAAATTAACGATTTGAAAAAAGAAATTAAGATTCGATTTATTAACATTTAATTTTGATTGGATTTCATTGTGTCTATTTATTAGATGTATCTCACTACAACGATAACGAATGCAATCAGTTAGAAGAATGTGAAACAAACCTGTCGAGTTCAGTTGTATCAATCAAATTTAGTTCATCAATTTCACGGGTCGAAATAATGATCAGATCAGTCTGAGAGCGTCAACAGACAGCAGACTGATCGTAATCCAATCCTTCTTCTTGATCTGAAGCAAGTCACTCACCGGAATGCTTTCCCATGTCAACAGATGCTTGATTAATATGCCATTTCAAGTGATTCGTCAACAAACAGACAAACAACCGAGCGATATTGCCGGCAGAATCTTCATTGCAGTGATTCCAAGAACGAAGAATAGTGATACTTAATAGCTAATGGGCTGAAGAATGCTCATTTTTTGCAATAAATGCAAGCGAAATGCCACTCAGATCTAACTTGATTCTCTGGATTAAATTCACTTGAATAAAAGGAAAAAAACGAAGACAATTCGGTGATCAGACGAGAGAACTGTTTAAAGAAATTCTGCAGTAGAAACATCAGTGAACTGTATTTTGCTCTTATATAAAGCGATTTTCAATTGAAAGGCATTTAGAGTGTATTGCAAATTGACTCATTCTATTGTTCAAATCATTGATTATGTCATGAGTTAACTAGTTTCAAAAATAGAAACAAGTGTTTGGTTGCTTCTCTTTATGTATAGTTGTCGAATCTATGATTAATCAAGCAGTTTTAAAAAATATGATATACAACTTGTAAATTATTATAAATATTGAAGAAAAATGATTATGACCTAATTATCAGATGATTAGACACAAAAATCTTTTCTAAAATAATAACAATTCGAAATTGCTAGACTGTTAAAACCATTAAACTTATATGCAATAGTTGCAAAACTCATTCGTCGATTTCTTATCATTGAATCCCAATATTGATTTTAAACTTGAATTCTTTGTTTTTAGTAAAATGACATGAAAAATAGTGAACATATTGAAAGTAAATCAAATAAAACATAATGAAATGGAAACAGTAATTACACCAAGTCTATTGTAAGCGACTGTCTGAAAAAGCATGACTTCTATAGATATGAAACCAGTCAAGTCATAGTGAATATTTAATTCTGATAGAAACAGTCAAATGAGATGATTGTACAACATAAGTGTAAAGCAAATGGAATATGAATCGAACATAATACAAAAATCATATACCGTACTGTATTATATGTTATTTATGAAATATTGATTAGCTGCATACATGGGCAGAAGCAAAAAATATGAACTGAAATATATAAATTGGGACATCGAATCGACTGCTATTCGAAAGTACATTACTGTCATTTTCCGTTGCAGATTTTAAATCGAAACGTATCTAATCGATATTCATATTCGACAAATTATTACTCTGCGTAAAATGCTACGTGAGACGAGAAGTATCATTCGAATCAAATTGATTTATTTAACTCAATCGTTCTTCATTACCACTCATTGTTTATTTTTTCGAACAGCTCATTGAGGGTGTGGGTGTCAGGATTTTGTGAAGAAAAATATCCACAACCGTATCTACATTTACGCCCACCCACACCCACACCCAGGATAATTTCTCAACCGATCCTTGAGAAGAAGTCGACATATATATGATTAACTGTTTATTTTGTATAAAATATATTCACATGCTGCTCTTTTTGGTAGTTTTCAAACATTATCGCTCGCTTGAATCTCTCGTGACAGCATGCGCAAAATAGTTTTTTTTTTAAGTTTCTTCGTCCTGCAGGTGTTAGTTTTTTTTTGCATTGCATCATATGAATGAAACTAGTCACATGTGATGATAGTCGGTTTCGTTGCGGGGCAGAAAAGAAACGAGAGATGGCGAATAGTAATGCAATTTTTTTGTGCCTGACGTGTAAATGCACATGTTTGTTTATGTTGTTTTTTCTCATACATTTTATCTACCTGGACACCGTCGAGTTAGTGTATTCAGTCGCAGACGTCTCTCATTAATGTATCATTTGCCTTCTATCAAATAACTATCTATTTATTTTATCATTTTGGCATTGTTTTGCTTATTTCATCTGAAATATGGCTGAAATATTATTGGGACGCCGTAGAGTTCACCAACGAAAAACGAGTGCTGACAATGCCGATTCTGTTCGTGTTGTTGGGGCTGGCCTTCCACGAACAGGAACTTCATCATTGAAGAGTGCTCTAGAAATACTCGGCTTTGGTCCCTGTCATCATATGTCTGAATTATGCAATAAACCCGAACAAAGTGTTGCCTTTGCACGAGCACTAGATGGATACGAAACAAACTTTTTCGAATTGATGAAGGGATACGGTTCAACAGTCGATTTTCCGACAGCCATATTCTACAAAGAAATTCATAAAGTCTATCCAGAGGCAAAAATTATTCTCACTGTACGTGATAGTGGTGAAAAGTGGTACGAAAGTTTTGTCAATACTATCGAGCCTGTGTGCAATGATATTACCTACTACATTGCTGTTTATCCCATTCGGATTTTGCGTCTACAATGTATTGTTGCCAGAAAGTTCATTCAAAAGTGGAAGATTGAGTATGGCAAGATTGGACCTCACTTACACGACACATACAATGCTTGTGTGATAAAGGAAAATAAACAGAATGAGTTGCTTGTATTCGATGTCAAAGAAGGATGGCCGCCACTTTGCAAGTTTCTCAATGTGCCTATTCCAACAGATATTCCATTTCCACAACTGAACGACGCCGAATACATCAAACGTGGAATTCGAATAGCTCGAATCATAGGATGGATTACCTGGGGATGTATTGTAGCAATAGTAGCTATTGCAGGATATTTTATTATCTGACTAAAGCATTCTGTGACCGTTTGAAAGTCGATTGTCTGCACTGCAATAAATAATTGAAGTGATTGAAGAGTACAAATCTAATCGCAGTGATATCACTATGGCTCTTGTTCCTTTAGAAAAAATACAAGTTATTCACATTGTATGGGCTCTGTAACTCGACCAATAAATGTATATCCCTAATCAATTGATGCAACCAATAGTTATCAAACCACTCATGAAACTATCCGTAGATTACAAATTTCATCAAATTGGACTAAAACTTTTAAAAAGGATCTATGATATTCTTTCTGAAACACCATTGGAAATGAGTACCGAAGTCAAGGAAGAACTACTGTCTTGGTGGATTTTGGATTTTGAAAATCCATAAACTAGTTTTTTGAATTTCTTTAGATTTTTTGAACTTCGGTGGGCTTTTACATTTTTTTATGTTTTTCGGTCCTTTTCATCCGTTATTCATTGACATTGTTTATTTTCCTTTGAAATCACTTCTGTTTTAGGTCAGCTGCGAATATTAATGAAATAGAGTGCGTTCGAAGTCCCGTAGAACACTAAATATCCCTTATGTCGTTGTATCAACAAAAATATGCTTATCAGCTGTTTCTAGCATACAAGCCTTTCTCAGAAACACGTATACATTGCCCGTTGACACACTTTCTATATAAAAGTCCTAATATTTAACTATTTTTCTTCTTTACAAAGAGCTAACAACAGCACATTAGTTTGACTGCACAGCATGACTTGGACTCCTTTCGGCATGTGATGTGATTTTTGTCTAAAACATGACCAGTACAAGGTTTCAAAATAATGTGCGGGCAAAATACGCAAACTTTGCCAGGCTTTAATTTGAAATCAACCCATCCTCTATATCTCGTTTTTCAAGGTAGTCTTAGGAATTTGTCTTTGAGTCATTGATAATGCTATAAGTCCCGAGAAACTCAGTATTTCTGGCTATCATTGTGATCACAAAAGCTTCAGCTAAGGTCCTCTTATTGCTGGCAGTTTCAGCAAAGTCTGGTTGAAAAAGGCAGAAATTCCGTTGTGCGAGGGGATGCATCTGTGTTTTTCTCTTTGTTTCGACGCGTTACGTTCTGTTGAATCATATACAGAACACAATGTTACATATTAGCCAAATGCATGTGTGTATTCCGCGTGACATTACTTTTTTCTCTTGCGTTGTTGATGTGTTAAGTTGGAAATTACCAACTTAATGTAAAGCGAACACAAGAAAACATGGTATAAATACTGACGGTTCGCCTAACCATGAAAACAAATAGTCTCAACAAACTTTGATGGCTGGGTGTGGGTGTGGGTTGAGTGTGAGGTGGGTCTGGGTATCGAGTTGGTGTCTGAATCGAAAATCCATTCCTTCCACTAACATCCAGACGCACTTCACACTCTTACCACACACTCACACACCCACACTCACACCCCACCCACACCCTGATCTACATAAAATACGATTTTCTCCGAAACAGATCTTGGACCATGAAGTCTGACATTTTTAGAAGAACTAGCTCACACTGAAGAACAACTGATGTTAAGGAAAGCCTTGAAAAAAGTGGGAAAAAATAACATCCTCAATTGCATTACTGTGTTCGCTATTTAATAATGCATTGATGATTTATTTCGTTTTGTCAATTGACTAGTTGAAAGCTCCACCTCGCAATGCTGTTTCGATAAAAACTTATTCAAAAAATAGTCAGTCTTTCTTTTATTTTGAAATGGATAATAGTTAGGATGAATGTGAACGCAGGAAGGAATATTATACTTACACTAATAGTCTTATTCAACCAGAAAATAAGCATTTGTATAGGAGTAACTGGCAGTTTTGTCGTTAGCGGTATTGTTCTTTTTCAATAACAAAATATTCAAAACGAATGAAATTAAATAAAAAGAATGACAAACGGCAACGCTTCTAAGTTTAGATGAGCCGGTGATTGACGCAAATACTAAAAAGTCCTTGTAGTATACACTTTGAAAAGTAGGGATAAGAATCACTTTCATGACTTAATATGTGAAAGATCCCTTAAGTTGATAGAAAGCAAATGTCTTTGACAATCGAACAAAATTTCAGAGATGCTTTTCAGATGAATATTTCTTCAATAGATTAACAAAAAGGGAAATTACTTAGGTCTGACCAAAAGTTCTGAGATCTTTAAATAAAAATATAAAGATAAGGCGATATTTTTAATTTTATTTTATGAAATGTTGAGGATAGTTGTCATGATTATTTATATCAAGTTCAATTCTTTCTAACAACTTATTAAAAGTTTTTTTAACTCTTTTTCGAAGAAAATTTTAGCTACCTTGGATACCGCATGAGCTAATCATATTTCATTTGTTTTAAAATTTTAGCGAAGTTTTGTTAGGTGTTGTCACTTGCGTTCTACTAGTACCAGTGACGAAGTATAGATTTATTTTATATAGGTTAATCATAAATCATCTGATTTTAGCTGGCTTATTGAGGATGAATCGTCAATGACCATTGTTCATGGAGATAGATTTTAATACAAACTTTGTTTGACATATGCTTTAAATCAAATAGCCCTGAGTGTAGATAAAGGCATGACAGTAGGTAATAAATATTATATTGAAAATTGTCTGAAGCCTTTTGTAAATGTAATATGAAAACAAAAAGAGGTATAAAATGCAAAATGTACAAAACTGCTTCAGGATCATCGTTGACTTCATACTCATCCGATGTTATTAATTATTTGACAGAAGAAGGCATCAATATAATGCCGCAGCAGTCATATTCGCCATACCTAATACTACTTAATCTTTGATTATGTAGCTCTATCGAAGGGAGTTTAATTAATTGAATAAATGAAATATTATGTACTCATGCGGTATCCAAGGTAACTAAAATTTTTTTCGAAAAATAGTTCAAAAAAACTTTTAGTAAATTGTTAGAAAGAATTGAACTTGATATAAATAATCATGGCAACTATCCTCAATATTTGATAAAATAAAATTAAAAATATCTCCTTATCTTTATATTTTTATTTAAAGATCTCAGAACTTTTGGTCAGACCTAAGTATATGATTGCATTTACTATTGTGAGTCATGAGCAATACATTGATGAATGAACGCTTACGAGAACATAAATACATACTCAATGAAAAAGAAATTAGTAGGATTAATTTCTGCTTTTTATTTAGTCCCCTCTACTTTTAAAAACTCTATAAATGTGCACTTAAGCAGATGTTGTTTACACGTTCATATATACATGATTATTTCACGAGGATGTGGGTGTTGGTGCTCGTTTAACTCACATTCTAATATGTCTTTCTTGGTATATTCGATATTCAAGTAGACTTGATTGTTGTCTTCCTATTGTAAATCGCTATTTTTCTTGAATGTTAAATACCTAGAGAAAGACACGTTTGTTTTCGTGGAAACTACCATGGCTATCAAACATGTCCAGAGGCAAAATTTCAGATAGAAAAATCTTCGGTTTTAACTTTCCAAAAATCTCTTGCCTATAGAAATTTTAAACCTTGTCTTGACCTGACTGAGATCTATTCGTAGGCATACGATGAAGTTAAACAGTATGAAACACTTGGATTGTTGCCTCGTTAATTTATTTTCTATGGGCTCGCTAACTTGAACTATAAACATCTAATCAATTATTCATAGCAAAGAATGATTTAAATATTTGTATCAAACTATTGAATTTTATTTATTTTTTCACATATACAGAACTTCTAATCAATTAGACAGATGTCAACAGAAACAATTTCCAGATTTTCATTTTCCATAATCGTGCTGATTGAGCTAATTAGGTCGAAGTAGTATCATTTTTATTTCGAATTTCTTCGAAACAATCAAATAAATCTTGTGCGAATGCATCAGAAACATGATGATAATGTCGAAAATGAGATTTTAATGCACTAAATGCAATTTTGTGATGTTGACATGGGACTCTATATAAATGATCAATTACATCGTCATTTTCATTAAATAATTTTGTTATCCTAGGATCTTGATTATTGATAACAGCTTGTGTCAAACAACGAGCATAACATCGTTTTAATCTATGCTTTTTCATGAAATGGTTAAATAATATGATTCGATGGTTTTTTCTATGCTCACAAAATTTAATAGAATGTTTTGCTTGAGTAAGACTATATGCACCATCAAATCTTAATGGACATTGACCAGAGACAGTTGTGATTCGTTTTCGTTTTTCTTTATGTTGTTCTTCATTCACATTTTGATTCTGAAAAATGAATGTTTAAATATCCGTGGAGAACTATTAATTGAAATTAATCAGCCAATTAAATTGGTAGTAAGCAAATACCGGGTGTCCCAAAATGTTTGCACACTTTTTTATTTTGCATATATATCAACATGGATAAATGATAAAAAGCTTGATTTTTTTAAAAAGATGCACCCTGAAAAGGTCTATAAAAAATGCCGGAACAAATCCCTACTAATATGTTCTGATGATTTTTCCTATAGTCAAAACGAAACACCTACATATTAGTGCTACTTCCCACGGTATTTAAAATAATAAAAATGTTTGGAAGACCTTTTCTATTTTGCAGTAGGAATTTTCTCATACAGCTTTTGTAGAGCTTTCAACGGCGCATCTTTTGAAAAAGAAATCAAGAATTAATCTTTTTCTGAAGTTGAGATATATGTAAAGTGCAAAAGGTCTTCCAAACCTGTCTATTATTTTAAATATGGTGGGATGCAGCACTAATATGTAGATGTTTCATTTTGACTATAGGAAAAATCATCAGAACATATTAGTAGGGATTTGTTTCGGCATTTTTTTTGTAGAGCTTTTCACGGTGAATCTTTAAAAAAAATCAAGCTTTTTATCATTGATCCATGCTGATATATATGCAAAATTAAAAAAAAGTGTGCAAACATTTTGGGACACCTGGTATATCTGCAACCATAGAAAAAAAATTCGAAAATTTCAGAATTAACGCTATGGCACGAAGTCTATCTAAAGTGAAATTTTCAGTATGACCGACCTTTAAAAACGTTCTTCTAAAACAATGTATATGCGTACGAGATCACATCGTTAACGAAAAATAAATCGATTCTTATGAAAAATCTAGAAATGCTCCGGGAAAAGTTTCCATAGAATTTCAATTCGGAGTCTTTTAAAACTGAAATGCATGAAGTGAAAGTCGATTTTGTTTTTTCTATAAAGTCACTAACTAATGCTAGTTTTTTTGCTGATAGATCGTCTGAAAAAGGATTCTTCATACTGATTATTGCAGAATATTTAGAGTAACTTAGCATACACATAACGTATAAAGATTAGTGGAAGATACACATGTTTTTATTTAGCGAGGTTGCCTCACGAACGAATGAAATGCATCTGATAGAGATAGGATATCCATGAAAAGTTATTGAGTTTAGTATTTGACTTAAAACTAAGGTTTTTCTATGAGAAATAGTATGAAACTTGAAAATACAATCTCTCTGGGAATTGCAATTTGTCAAAATTTCAAGAAATAATCTGTAAAATAGAGATGTTTCATACATTAGAAAAAGAAAAATACGAAGCGATAACTGCTGTTTTAGAATTTCGTTGATTCACAAGTCTTTTTTTTCTAAATAATAGGCATCACATACAATAGTTTTATTTTATCAACTGCTAGAATTCCTTTTCTAACTTAACCCACAGAAAAGTTTTGAATCAGGTATCTTATTTGTCAATATGTTTAGCATTTCGAAACATCATTTTTATATACAAGTCAGAGTACATATACTGAAAAATAATATACACACGATTGTATCAAGCGCAAATCTGCAAGAAGAAATAACTAGAAGTACTCCAATCAGGAGAAAGCATAATTTGTCTGACACTAAAAATGAATCATTTGAATGGAGCCGATCGCCTTCTTTTTCTAATATATCAAGATGTTTTCACTAGATTGAGTTGCATTTTTCATCAAAATGTAGCCCCATTTTCTTAGTTTATCTGTTCTCTATATCACGTATTTCCACTGCCGGACTAGAAATACTAAAAATCATCAGTATCGATTTGACTGAAAATTGATCATAGATCATGCACAAAAAATAGCCGAATATTGCACTTTTAATCAATCTATTTCAACGGAAAGACGAAATTGAAAATGCTTTAACGAAATTTTACTTACGCTTCAATCAAAATATTGTCAATAATGAAGATTCTTGGTCAAAAATATAAAATACGAGACTTTCAATCAGTTATCCTTATATATCTGCGTACGGCACATGATCCATTCCGACGAGAATCATTTTTTGTATTTTCACTCTGACAACATAAATACATGACATACGTAGACTATTCGCATCTTCAGCAGATAAAATATGAGAACGAAGCAAATATTGGCGAAGATTGTAACTCGATCTGTTTGAACAGGAAGAAAAATTTCTCACATCAAACATTATACTGTTGTTTTTAGTAGGTACAATTGATAAGCTTAATATCCTAGAATTGAATACAACTCAAATTATTATAGAATGGCATCTATTAATACCATCGAGTAAGAAAGGGTTCACTGATGTAGAACTTGGAAAATAAAACATAAAACAAATAAGAATGTATTCTATTCAATTTTGAACAAATTAGAGCGAGAGACATCTACTTCGAAGTTATACTACTACGTTTAATGAAAAATTAGATACGAAAAAAAAATATTTGATGTTTTAGTTCAAAAATTGACTTTATCGAATCTTCTGTAGATATAATTGTTTTACTTTAACAGATTTTATTGTTTCACTAAAAACAAAGAAAAATATGCAAAGACTTTTGGATCTTTTCTAATAGAAAATACAAAACTTACTCAATTGATAATATATCAATAGAGTCATGATCGATAAACATTGAACATCTATCATCTTAAATCAATCACGTTTATTATTCTTGTAAAAGTTAAGAAAAACTTTAATGTACTTTCTGGGATTGCAAATTCTTCTATCCTACAAAAGAACTACGCGAACTTATATCGAATGAATAAAATTGTCTCAGTATAACTAGAAAAATGTAAAAGGCTTTGTGTTCATAAACTGAGTGGGGCCTGTTTCAGTGAATTTTCGACCTGTCATTTCATCCGTAGACAGATCATATAAGTTCGTGGATATTCTTAAAGTTCTATCAAGATATTGAATTTCCAACAAAGATTTTTCTATCACAAATATCGAGTTTACTTGAAGCTATCCTGAGGCTATCTATGACAATATTACAAGTCGAAATTGTATTAGTTGAATTTTCAGTTAATACCTGAAATAGGTCGAAAATTCATTAAAACAATGAGAACTCGATTCATCGCTGAGAATCTTTTTGAGCTTTTCTACTCTTACCAAGATTTCTTTGTGAGCTCAATATAATCTGCAAAGGTAAGAAATAAATTCGGGTAGTTTCGTAGTTGGATATCTGTATCTATTGCTGAATCCAAACAAATAAGAGATCTAATAAAAAGAAAAAAAACTAAAACAAAATACATGACGTAGAAATGAAATACTTTGATTTTGAACGAGTATTTCTCAATAGTGATTGATCTATAAAAATTTCAATTTACCATTTGAATTTATATTTTCCTTATTACATTTACAAATACAAGAACAATTTTTAGTTTCTAATAATGAAGGTTCGACTCTTATCGTCATTTCTAAAGTTAAAACAAATGGCTTGATTAACTTGTTCAAAAATATTTTTTATTTCATCCATTGAAGTATTTGGTACATCAAGAAATCGTTTTGCTTATTCAATCAAATTTTGTTCGCGTCCAATTGTCAATAGCTTTTTTTCAGCAATTAGTGTAAGTGTCGTTATAACTGTATTTAATTCATTATGAACACTATCTAATCGGCGTTTATTTTGTTTTGTTATTTCGATATGTTCAATTAAATGATTTAAACAAACAAGACGCAAACAACAATGACATTCATATAATTCTTTTATTTCATCATTACATGTTATATCAGTACATGAAGCTATTTCGGGAATTTCTGAAAAACAAAGATTGTTTATACCTGCAATATTCGCTAGAAAATATGATCCTTATCACTATGGACGAAATGTTTAAAATAATTGACAAACTATCAAACACATACGTAGGAAAGAAAGAGAATCCAACGCATAATGTTATTGTCCTTTGTTTTATCGAATAAAATAGTTCAACTACTAGCCTGTAGATATAGATGGTTCATCGTATGATTTTCCGAACGAAATTCACTGATGAAAGAGCATATTGAAGGATGTATAAATTCAGAATTTTAGCCTTCTCTGAAGCACTTTCAATAGATACGAAAGTAGGATTGAAAATACACTCAAAGAGTTCTAATACAAATATCCTACTGTTTTTGATTTCTTTTTTCTGCAAAAATTTAATTGCATTAAATTATATAACACCTTAAAAGAAGAATTAAATTTCACTTCACTATACTGAATATTTATTAAGCTTGTCTGGTTTCTTATTTCTTCTATTGATGAAAGAAATTTGACAAAAGCGTATGGGAGAGAGAAGAGCAGTAGAAAATGACCAAAGAATGGCTGACGAATAATACGCGAGCAATGACGTCTATATGGGCATGCGGAAGAGAGAAAAAGAAGACCACAAAAAAGACAATGATGATACAGAGAGCGAGTGCTTACATCGATGAATAGCATTGGAAAAGAAACCGACAACACATCAAAGAGTAAAAGTGTCAGAGAGATAAAATCTGGAAATATTGAATATACAAAATCTCGAAACTGCAGAGAATGGCAAAATTCATAATATAGAAAAGAATGACTAAGGAATGGGATTGTTGGGAACTTTTCAATATATGATTTTCTAAGAATTTACTTCTTTTAAGTAGAAGAACATTTAGATCTTTTTATTCTTCTTCATTGTAAAAATACAAAGAGTATGTGGAAAAAATTTATTATATTTTCAATTCAAATACGAGCTGACATAATTTTGAAGTAAATATAAATAATGAATTCATGTTTTATTTTTTACATCTATTGCGACCAAGAAAGACATTTCTTATGAATATTCTTTGGTATCAATTTCTGCATTATCAAATAACATTGATAATGTTTTAAGACTCTTATGTAAGGGGAGCCTCTTTCTCCTCCTTTTCGGAGATTTTCCAAAATAGTCGGAAGACAAACCATGAAACTTTCAGAACAGATAGATCTCAATGAACAGAGCAAAAGTCGTCATAAACTCGCAATCACCAAGTGCTTTCCTCAGGGAAATATAAGGTCCCCCGCCCGCAAAAATTTGTATTTCATTTTTCTTTGCTGCAGTTTTTTTTCTTTCAGACATATCGTTCCTAGTACTCAGGGGAGTCAAAATATCGAAAGCACTATCAAAAAACGTGTTTTTTCAATGGTGCTAACTTTTGAAAGACTGTCCAATTTCATAGGCAGAATATTATTCAGAAAGAAGACAAAATGACATCCAAATTCGATCGAGGAATTTATTAAAAGAAACTTCGAATCGGATCAATTGAGAGGCGAGAGAGAAAAAAGGAGAAAACTGTAAGTTTTCCTGTAAAAATTTGGCTTTAAGAAAAATGCAAAAAACGATGCATTTTTTGACTTTTCTATCATGAAACTGAGTTCTTTTTTTTCGAATTTTTGACATATAAAGACATCGTTTTGTCTTCTTAAAATATGCTTGCTTGTCAGATAGAAGGCATTTAAATGGATATACCCAACATAAAAAATGAAAAATGAAGAAGCAGAAAATTTTGAGTCGGAAAAGGGAAGGGAGTCGACTTACAGATCGATTTCATTGGAGATCAATTTTTTTCTATCTCTTTTAGTTGATTATCAAAGTTGAATTAATTATAGATAACTGATTCACATAGATCAATCAATGTTAAAATCAAATGATATATGTCTTTAAGGCTGGAAAATTAAATTAAAATAGTATCATTGTAATCGATTTTTAATTTGATTTTTATTTCGTTTTGCATCAGCTATTTTTTCTACATTCGTAGCATATAATTTCCGCTTCTTGTTTATTCAATAACTGTGAAATGAATGAACAACGTGATGTGTGTGAATTCACATCCATCGCCTTAATGCCATTATGTCTATATTTTTATGAGTTGCAATCCGTTGATAATAATCTGGTTAAGAAAATGGTGATTTAAATGATTCAACTCGACCATCGAAAGCCTTTCTGAATTTTCTCCAAATTTCAACAAACAAATTTTAGCATTTTTCGCCTTTTAGACACGCTCATCTGACAACACTGTTGTATTTCACTGACAAAACCGTTGAACTCAAATTAAAAAAGTATATCGATCCTTTTCAACCGAGCCAATTCTATCTCTGATAACACACAATCGAATTCCTACAGTAAGTATCATCAACTGAACTGAAACTATTGTTGCTTGATACTATGCAATGATATGTTTCATGCAGGATAAATTTTTAAGATTAAATTCAATTTTCTTTCATAATGTGAAAGACTAGATACTTACCTGTCATTACTGTGTTAAACTAGAACCATTGTTATGAATCCATGAGATTAACCAAGTCTAATACTTTGTCAATATCCTCATAAACTTGCTTATATTGTTGGCTGGGTTCTTTACAGTGATATTTCAAATGAGTTTTTCAATTTATAAATTTCATATATGTTATATTTCTTTTTGTTTCACATTATTTGTAGAAACGCTTCGATTATTCTCTTTTTAAGTAGATTAGTATGTTCTTCTTGTCTTTCTCAGTGCATCACTTTGTATGTAGCTATATATACAGTACCCTACACCCCACACCCACCACCCGCAGCCTTTTCAATGAATGTACATACTTGAACTTGAAAAGGATTTAGCAGAAACCATAACAGAACATGAATTAATCTGTTAAATAAAGAATCTTCAATGAGTAATAAGTTCTTGAAATTTTTCTCAGAAATATCTCGTAAGTATGAGTTTTTTAATTTAAACAATAACTGATTTTAGGCGAGTTTTTCATAGCCAATAATATTACTAGAGTTAAAAGAATTTTTTTATTATTCAAAGTCTAATTCTTCTGAAAAAGTTGTCGACCATAAGTATATAAAATATGATCAGAAAAATTGATTTCGAAAATTAATATGATGCAAAAACCAATATTTTTACTAATTCGAATAGTTTTTTAGCACAAAATTACATTTTTTGTTGATAGAGAACAACACGAATCTCTTATGATTATATTAGTTCGATTGAACTTAAAGAATAATCATGCGGCATCATATTCACGAAGTATCTTTCGTTAATAATAGATATGAGTTCATATTTACTTATTAGTTTTTAACGATTAATAAAGTCCCATACTTATTTCGAGAACGTTGAATTATTAATTACGTTATACAGAATAATTTTATCTATATTGGGCATTCAAGCCACACTTCACGGTCATTTAAACTATGTTGAATTTTAGATAGACAAAGGTGTACTTCTCTTTTCAGATCATATTCTTTCCATCTAGAGAAAAATATAATTGTGATATTGGAGCTGAAGAGAAGAACCATATGTAGTTACTTGAATAACTTTTTAGTCAGTTTTATTCTTAGTCTTTCTCGATTGGATTATTTAGAACATCTGCATCTGCTTATTCGTAGTGGACATACAAAATAGAGGAGTGTAAGATTAGAAGGAACTCTTAGAATTGTTTGGACGTTGCAT